GCAGGAATGGGATGTGGCAGTTGTCAGGGCACTTCATCCGTGCTATCAGGCACTGAGAATGTGTTCCAGGATCTGATAGTAATGAAAGCTCAAATGCTAATGCTTTTAATCCTTTTCAAACATCTGGAATGAATCAAGACCATACCTGCAGTGACATTTACCTGTCTGTTTTGCCTGGTCAGTGGTAACTTGAATATTTGTGTAGGGTCCTGTAATGATATAAACAGTTGTAAGGAGAGTTCTGACTTTGTCTGCTAAGGTCAGCTAGCAAGCTGTCATTCAGGCTGGCCTGTGTTGCCAAGCTGCAAACAAGTTCTCATGGTGGCAGGCTGGCAAAGTGGAAAGAGATTGTCTAGGATATGCCACTGGCTTTTAGGTGACTTGAAACTGGCTGCAAACTTCTTCCTTGACCTCTTGCTTTCTTTCCCCACCCCTTTTCTTTTTCATCTTTCAGCACGGTCAGACATCAGTCATGGCAGGAGATGCCATCATGGTCATGAGAGGCTTGACAAAGCTTAGTAAAGCAGTCCTAGAAACCCAAGCAGGACAGCTTCGGCAGGTGCTCCTTGGAGGCGATGCAGTTACCGTTGCAAGGTCTTTCCAGGCTGCTGCTGAAGAACAGTTCAGTTCTGCCTTTGGGAAAATGCAGGTAAGCATCTTTGTACACAGTCTAGTCTGATGTTTTGCTACTTCTCTAGGTACTTGTTGGTTTTGTGTGAGAGTGGCCAGGAACTAGAACCTAGCTCTGAAGTGCTGGATCAATGAAGTGGTTTGGGCCCAACATGACAGTAAAGGAACAGCCTCATGGCTGCTCACTCAACTGCCCTGCCTCACCACCCCCCACCCCCACACACACTCTGGGATGAGGAGGACAAAGCTCATGGGTTAAGACAAAGGACAAGGAAGCTTCTTCACTGGTTAAGGTCCTAGGCAATCCAGGCAAAACAAACTCAGCTGGGGAAAAATTAATTTATTAATTTCACACTAATCAAACACACACAGGACGCAGACAACAAAAAGGGCAGTACTTGCATGTGTTACCCCACCCCTCTCTTCTTTCCAGGCCCAAATCACTTTTTTCCCAGTTTCTCTCCCTCCTTCCCCCAGCAGCACAGGGGGACAGGGGATGGGGTTTAGAGTCAGTTCACAGGCTGGTGGTTCCTGCCACTCCTTCCTCCTCAGAAAGAAGGATTCCTCACAGTCCTTCCCTGCTTCCCCATGGGGTCCCTCCCATGGCAGAGAGTCGTCCATGAACCTCTCCTTCCTGAGCCCTTCTCACAAGGTCCAGAGCAAGCTGCTTCAGTGTGGGCTTCCCAGAGATTCACAGGCTGCTTCGGGAACAGCCAACTCCCCTGGTGTTGGGGGCTTCCAAAGCTGCATAATCAGAGGATGCTGGCAGCAAATCTGAGTCCACTGGCCACAAAATCCAAGTCCACTGGTCAAGTTCACCCCTTGTGGCGCCTTCAGGGAATGTTCCACCACATTCCTCCATGTGTGCAGGGGGACAGGTGCCATCTCACCATGGGTTGCAGGGAAACTTCTGCTTGGGCAGGGAAACTTCTGCTTGGGCACCTTCTTCCTCACCAACCACCAGCTCTGCTCTGTTTCTCCAGCACAGCTCTTCACCCTTAAGAGCTCGTCTGCTCATGTGTTATCTCAGTTCTTTTGTATGTTAATTACAGAGGTGCATCTATTGTCCCTCTAATGCCTCCTTGGCTGGTTTTGAAGGAGGGGGAACTTCTTAGCTTCTTACCAGAGCCAGCCCTGGGGCCCTTCCCCCCCTACCAAAAATCCCACAAAACCAAACCAGAACAATCAGTAATCCAGATTTTGCAATGCTCTGGGAATTCTCCAGGATTTCTGTGGTTTGCAGTTGGTGCTTAGACAGAAAAATGAGGGAAATATTACTGCAGAGTGTTTGTTTCCATGCTGAAAATGAGAAGTTGTCTATTCATCTCGTCAAAGATCAAGCTCTTGCTAAGATTGGCCAGCAGTTTTTTATTTAAAGTCTCATTTGAACTTCAGTCATTGATTGTTTGCTTTGACTAAGTGAACGAGCTCTTTTAGAGTGAATTGTATTTATTTCAACTGCTGCTTCCTTTCTTGACACAATTGGTGCATGAGGTATTTTTCAGAATGGCTTAGGGTCAGGTGGTTGCTTGTTTATCACTGGATTTTCAGAACTGATTTTCAAATGAGGAACATAAGGAAAGACAGACTCATTTTGAAGTGGCAGCTGCTGTTACCAGACATGGGGATGGATTTGTAAGAGCTTCACATTTGATGTGTTATCATGTCTTGAAAATACAGGGCTCTTAATAAGAAATTATTGACTTGTGTAATCCTTTAGAAAGACAATGTAGCTCAGATCATAGTTTTTGAAGCAGAAACTAATGAGTGAGGTTTTGAAATTTTTTTATGCAATGACCTTAGACTTTCCTGGCAGTGTATAGCTTCAGTCCTAGAATCTGGGCTGGTGTGCCCTTGGTTTTATTGAAATTTGCAACAGAAATATTCTTAAATGTGTGTTTGTTTATGGGGATAGTGTTTTATCTTGCTTTTATCCTCCTTTTGCATCCAAGAAGAGGGAGATAATGTTCTCATGTTTCTGTGCATGTCTCTGCACAAGAGAGGCTCCACAAGCACAGAACACTTGTCTTGCCATCTGTAAATTAGTTGCATGAAAAGCTGCTGCCAAAGCAGGGCTCAGTAAAAAAATCTGCAGTCTGAAGTTACATGTTCAGTTTTGAAGAGAGAAAAGCTGTGTTAAGTGACTATAATTCATTTATCTTGGTTTGTGATGGGTTTTTTGCTATCTGATATGCTTTTTAAAATTTAAATGTGGAAGTAGAGAGACCTTTTTTGAAGTAACCTGTCAGTTACCTGAAGTTTTGTGGCCACATCCCCCATCTGTAAACAGATCTCTCCCCTTCCTGCTGGGATGTTGAAGTTCAGAATAGCATGAGACCTGCTGAAAAACAGAAAAGACCATGTTCTGTTCTTCTGTAAGGAAGTGAAATGTAATTAGGAAAGAACCTAAAATACACTGCCTGCTTGTCTGATTTAAAATTCTGCTGATTGGCTGCAATAGCCATCAGTTCTTACGTGGTATTGTTGCTGCTAAGAAGGGTAACTAGAATACGCCAAGTAGCAAGTAAATAGGAGATAATGCTCTGTTGCTATCTTTTTAAAAAAATGTTTATTTTTTCTTACATTAAAAAGTGGTGGGAAATACCTGGACTTAGTGGGGTAGCTCTTGCAGGTCAGAACAGAAAAGACTGCCAGGAAAAGCTTGCCTTGAGTGTTTCTGTGTCTAATGCTGCTACCTTTTGCTTCAAGCCCAGAATTTTATTTATTTATTTTGGGATGACAACAAACCCTGCCATAGTTTCAGTGGCTGAATAAGAAAATGTTTTGCAGTTGATAATGTCGTGGTTATGGAAGGGGTGAGCTTTCGTTGTCTATAAATAGGTATCTGGTATTGGGTAGTTTTGGCCTTGAAAAGGCTGACATTGCATGACTGGAGACAGGATGGGAGGAGGGAGCAAGAGCTGAAAAGTATGAGATTTGGCTTTTTGCTATCCCTCCCAAATACAACTTATGCAATACTGCAGCTGCCATCATCTGTCGCATCTGAGCAGCGCGTTACTTCTAGTATACTTCACAATTAGTGACCCTTCCTAGGTCAGGAACCTAGGGGTGTATACCTGGGGTGTATGTAGAAACAGGTGTCTCTAGTTACGGGTATTTTAGGAGCTCTAAATAATTTGTTCCATCAGTGGGGCTGAAAGACTCAGTGATCCCAGGTGTCCTCAGTGTCTGTGTCTTTCCTGTCTCTTACTGTGAATATCTCCAGTGCCAGAGGCTCCCCAGATTGTTTCTTGTGGAGACATGACAGCCTAGCTGCATGCTTATTTCTGAGGACCACTCAGGTAGGGAGCAGGCTGTAAGGTATTAAAGTATTTCTGTTATTGTTTGCAGGAATTAGGCAAACAGCAGGAGAACTTAACTGATCTCACTGAGGATTTTGGGAAAGACTATGACCTTTCAGCCCAAGAGCCATCAGATGCTCCATTGGACTTCTCCACTGCCTCCAACAAGCCTCATGAACACAGCCGTGAAGGCCCTGCTTACTCTTATGCTACAAATGGACCTTTTAGAAATGTTGGTGAGACTGGAGATTCTGGGATGGGTCAGAAGCCTTTCCTTCCTAAAGTGGATGCAAGGTTATTTGGAGGCTTTAAGGATCCTGGAAATCCTTTTGCTGCTGCCTTTGGACAAAATAGGGCTTTTCACCAAGACCATTCCTCTGTTGGTGGCTTAACGGCTGAAGATATTGATAAAGCCAGACAGGCCAAGGCAGGTTCAGAGCAGAAACCCTACAAACAGATGGTATGTTTCTTTTTAAATTACAGTTTCTGTACTGGATTGTCCTTGTTCACCTTCTCCTATGCTTTTCTCATTTCTTCCTCTTCTGCTGTTTTTCTGGAGGCCAAGGAAAGTGTCAGTTCTCATTAACTCTGATCTCTGATACCCTGTCAGTAGGCTTTCAGGTCCTCCTTTTACACTTGCCCCCTCTGTATGAGACATTCTATTGTGAGAGGATGTTTAAAAAACACTTTAAAAAACATGTATAGGGTTAGACTTAAGTTAATATAAAACAGGAGCTCTTCTTTCATTCACTGAACTACGAGGACTGGATGTATTTATTGATGCATGTTACAGTAATGAAGGGTCTGCAATTCATACCAGGTTTTGGGGTGAAATGTTGAGCAGGGCGGAACAGCTGTACACTACAAAGGTGTGAAAACTGACCTAAAGAATGAATCTTCTCCTTGAAGTTCCCTGTTACCTTTAGCTAGTTTTGCCATGGCTGCAAAGTATTAATTGGACATAAGCTCCCCTCAGTGAAGGTCTGTGTCTGGCAGTCCTAGAGGTGGAGAAAATCGTGCCCAGAGCATTAGTAGATTGGAAACTTGCTTTAGTTCTTCATGTTCTTGTGTGAGACTATGCAGAAATTCCACAGCAAAATTCAGAGTGGACATACTTGTCATCTGCTCTGACCTTCTGCCTTCTTCCCCAAACCCACTGTCAGATGCTACTGCAGGTTTGTTCACTCAGGATATCGCTTTGAAACAACTGTATGCTTTTGCTGCTCCAGCTGTTGTGCATGGAGAAATTATTTACAGTACTGCGAACCTGATAACCTTCCATAAGTTTTAATTCCATCTGTGGAAGGAAATTTAGGTTAGCACTGTTCTGCTTCTCCAAGTTCAAACTATAAAGGCTGCTGAGTTGAAAGTAAAAATGAGGTTCCTAAACATGGTTGTCAGCTCTTTTGTCTTGCTCACCCTCTTGTCTGCTCCTCTGTTTAATGTATATTTCAGTTCATGGTTTGTGTTCACTTGAAAATCTCTCACCATACATAAGGCTCAGTGTTCAAGAAAAGCTTTCTGTAGCACAGTTTTGTTAAAGTGCTTTCAAAGTTGCACTCTTAATTTTCAGCTATCTGGCCATATGCCAAATTTATTTGTGGATTTCTTGTTTTCTTTCCCTTTCCCCCTCTTTCTGCTACAGCTCAGTGAACGGGCCCGGGAGAGGAAGGTCCCTGTCACAAGGATCGGACGACTTGCTAACTTTGGAGGTGAGTTTGCACATCCATATTTGTGAAGTCACTACACGTGCACATCCTGATTAGTTTCTGGCTTTGACAGTGCTCCTGCTGTAGCATTAGCTGCTTGTTTTCTTTCCCTTTCCCCCTCTTTCTGCTACAGCTCAGTGAACGGGCCCGGGAGAGGAAGGTCCCTGTCACAAGGATCGGACGACTTGCTAACTTTGGAGGTGAGTTTGCACATCCATATTTGTGAAGTCACTACACGTGCACATCCTGATTAGTGTCTGGCTTTGACAGTGCGACTGCTGAAGCATTAGCTGGTTCTGTTTTCTCTTAAGCTTGTTAGTAGGAAATTGCTTTCCAACAAACAGGTGGTTAGGTTAGAGCTTGATTTCGGCTTTTTCATTGCAGTTACGGATCTTGACTAAGTCTGAATGAAGTTACACTTTGAATCCTGTCTTCTGTCACTCTTATCATACCTACATGCTGCTGTGATAGTATGTCAAAGAGAAACTCCACACCTTAACAGACCTTTCAGATGCATTCAGCAAGATACCTGTAAACAAGAACTACAGAATTGGCATGGGTTTTTATGTCTTAAGGCAGCAGGCTGGAGTCTTGTTTTCAAATACTTGTTCTGAAATGGACACTATTTCGAGTATATATGGGCAGGTGATTTGGGAGTGCATAGTGGAACTGCACATATCATGGTAGCACAGGCTGGGTTGTGCTGTTTTAATAAGAGAAAGAGTGAGGTGCAGGTCATTCTCCAATCTGCACAAATATCCTGGTCCTGCATATGGGATTCCCCTTTATTGAGGAAACTCTTTGCATTATGCTGTTAGATCAAGCAGAGACAGCTGGTGCAGCAGTTATTTAAAATATATTTTTTTTCCTTGAAGTTATCCATGCTACTTCTCTGAACAGTGGTTAAATATAAAATATATCACTTTGATACTGATTTTTTTGAGGTTTGGAGAGATTTTCTTATTCAAGGTTTGATTTACTTAGCCATTGCTTATAAGCTATTTTCTCCCAAGAAGGATGTGAATCTGAGCTTTTAAGCTGAAGCTAGCTGAAACTTTTTACAGAATGGGACTTAATATGTTAAAAAGCAGGTAAGTATCTTCAGTAATATTAAAATATGTTGCTTATCTAATGTCCTATATCCCAAACTGTAGGATATAACTGTGCAGATGGAAGTGATGATCACAGCTAGTTTTACTTGGTTAATCATCAGATGAGTACTCTACTTGGGTTTTTTTGTCACAATAGTGTTTAAGATGATAATAGCCTTATCTAGGTTGTGAACAGTCTCTCCCAGGCTCTTGTGATTCTGTTCCACAAAATTTGATATAGAAGTACATGTGCACAGTAGACATCCTTGTGTTACGGATCCCAGAATAAAGAAAAATAGCCTGTCAAGTGTAATTCAGATCAGCTCTTGTATAAAATAATACTATTCTTCCTCCATGTGTATCTTTGTCATAGTAGTATGCACACTAGGAGTTGGGGGCAGGGACTGATTCTATGCAGTGCAGGAATAAACAGCAAGAGAGTTTTGTGATAGCACACTCTTTTAATGTGGGTCAGGTCTCTTTAACCCTGTAATACATTGCAGTCATTCTGGCTTCTCAGCATGCTTAGTATTCCTTAAAGGTTCATTATCTGCTTTTCTGGAGTAATAAGGCATTGCTCTCAAACTCTCTTTGACATATTTTGTTTTTAAGCTCTAGTAGTATACAGATCTCTGTTCTAATCTAGCCTTGAATTTTATGTACAGTGTCATAGCACTTTTAGCTGTTATCTTCCATATTTATCTGTAGCTGCTTGCTGATGACTGCTAGATGTAAAGTGGCAGATCAACAAGTTTTCTGTGAACTTTGAGTTCCAGTGCTGTCACTCTATGCTTTAGCTCTTGGCACTCAAAGCTTTGTGTAAGGAAAGGCTGACTCATGCTTCAAGGAGAAAAATAACTAATTACCTGTCTTCTTCTAACCTTAGGTTAAAAAGCAAAACAAAAAAAAACCCCTGCCAAACCAAACCCACAAAGGGAGAGTAAGAAAGACATTATAAGGAGCATACTAAATCATACCTGTGTCACCTATTTTTTGGTCTTGACCTTCTCCAGTTGTGTGTTTTATGACTGAAATTGCTGGGGAGAGCTCCCTGCTTAAAGAGTGTTTTCGGGAAGACGCTGTGCTGCAAAAGTCGTGTTCTGATTCTCCAGTCTCTGCAATCTTGTTAGCATTTGTTGCTTATCTTTCCCTTTGAATTTTCCTGTGCAACAGTAAGGAGAAATACCATCAGAGTACAATGGTGTCCCCTGGTTGTTTTACCTAGGAAGCTGTCCTGTAGCACCTCTAGGAAGGCTTGGAGTACTAGGAAAACAGGTGTACCCGGTACTGCTGGCAGTGTGGGAATAAGGCACTGCAGGATGCATCATTGCTCCTATGTGCAAGATGTAAAGGAGCATCAACTAACTGTTCTGATTGCCTGTGTAATTTATTATCCAGAAAAACAAGTATTTTGAAATTGGGAATGCAGTGAGACCTTTGATATCATAAATTATTGCATAATTAGATTCACATCTCATTGAATCTTTGGTGGCCTTGGTCAGGTTAGTGGAGGCCAAAGTTTGCGCCTCCTTACATCAATAAGAATTGAAAAGTTTGCCATGTAGTGATCACTAAGCCCAAAATAGCCTCTGACATCTTCCACTAATCTTTGTTTTTGAACAGGAGGTCCAGCAAGGCACCTCCCCTGGTATCCTCACTTACCAGTTGCATCAGGAATTTATCTTCCACATGCTTGAGGAACCTCCTAGCCTGCCTGCTCTCTGCTGTGTTGTATTTCCAGCAGATGTCCAATAGGTTAAAGTTCCCAACCAGAACAAGTGCTGGTGATTGCAAGACTTCACCCAGCCACATATAGAATACAATATAGAAGTACAGGAGAAAACAAGTGTCAAACTTGAAGATTACTCCATTGCAAAAGTCAGGATGTTCTAATCAAGCTGTTTTGCTGCTGTGCATTTGACCATGTGGCTTAAAGTTAATTAAAAAATATGCCTCTGTATGTGGTTCAGATGATTTCATTCTGACCTATGCCGTTGTCTTCTTATTATTTTAAAGGACTAGCTGTTGGTCTTGGCATTGGGGCACTGGCAGAAGTTGCAAAGAAGAGCCTTAGACCTGAGGAACGCAGTGGTAAGCACTTTCTACATCCTTATTCTTTTTTTTTCCTCATTTTTTTCTTTTTTATTTCACCAGATACAGGTTATGTGAATTTGCAATACTTTTTTCTTTTAAAAGCTGGGATGATGAGGCAGTCAGAATAATGGGGGGATGTGGGTGGTTCTTTTATTTTTAACACAATCCTTCTTCATTTTCAGACTCCTCTCCCATCCAAATACACCACAGCCTCACTACATAGGCAGAGGTTAGAGGTATATGTAAGAGATTGTGCCAGATCAATTCATACAGCTTATAGTTCCCTCTGAGTTTGTATATTATCCCTGTGCCTGTTCTTGGATTGTCTTGGTCTGACAATTATTTTTAAACTGTTCAGTGAAACCAATTAATTGTATCAGTACACAAGCGGTAGATGAGCCCTGTCATGAGCTGATGCTATCACAGAGGCTACTGGCAGTCAGGATGCTTCTGCAATTTCCACCACCACCCCCCCCGAATTTGGAGGGTTTTTAAAATGAGACTGAGGGCACACATGTAGCCCTCGGCTGCTGCGGGACTGTATTTTAAAGTGGAGGTGAGAATACCACCCTCACCACGCCCACAAATTGTTACTGAAAACAATATTTACTTTATTAATTAACTGGTTCATTAAAGAACGGTTACACTAAGGGATGAGGTTTAGGAAAAATGTTAAAATGGCAAATCGCTACCAAGGATATATCAGGGAAGTAATGCAAAAATACTGTGCCCTTAAGACGTTCTCTCCGAGAGAGGGTTGCAGGTCAAAGGAGAGGGACGGAGGAGAGCAACCCCAACGAAATACCTTCTTAAAAGGGGTTGTGGTGTGTGTGTGTGTGCAAGTATAGGGAGTGGAATCGTGGTAGGGCAAAAGGGGGTTGTACAATTTCGTTACCGTCACGCTTTGATATGCAGTTCCCGTGTCGAAAGCGGTGGTTCCCCTTAGGCGGCTGACGTGGGGGGGGTGGGTGCGGTCCCCAGTGCAAACCCCTGGCAGCTTCTTCTCTAGAGGCAGCGGCAGTGAGTGGCCCCTCTCAGCAGGCATTGGGCACTCCTCTTCTTGGCGGCGGCTGCTCCCCCTCGGCATGGTCTCGAAGTCCGTGGTTTTGGGGGTGGCAGCCCCCTCACAGCTCAGCAGCAGCGGCTGTTCCCCTTCAGCAGCAGCGACTTGTTTTCCCCAGCAACCAGCAGCAAAACGGGGGGGGCTCCAGCCCTGTCCCTGACGACTGTGGTAAGGACCCAGTGGGTCAGAACCCTGGCACACTTGCTGTTACAGCTCAGGCTCGGTCCCCAGGGCAGGCAGGCAGGCAGGTCAGCAGGCCTGGCAGAGTCCTGGTGCTTCCAGGACTCCACAGCAGGCAAGTCTGACGAGCAGCAAGGGGGGTGTCCCACACAAGAAGCATGCAAGCAGTCTGCTCTCTCATCTTCTAAACCCGTCGTCTTTCCAGTCAGTGTAACTGCTGCAATGCATGAACATACTAATGTCCAGAGCCAATTAGTATCCATGAGCCCCAAGTTAGGGCAGTAACTATCAGGGGCTATTCATAATTTGTTGCCCATTCTTCCTGCTTTGTATCACATAATTTGTTTTGCTTTCATTTGTCCTTGAGCAGCAGGCCTGTTTTTGGTATACCCGTTAGCTGAGTATAATGAGCAGAAGGCCTTTGCTGACTTAAAAGGCATTTTGTTTAGACTTACGTGAGGAAGAAGAACAGTTTCTCACAAGCCCCTATGTCTGAAAACTTTGTTAGTTGTTGCAGTCTCTGTTTTAAATTTAAGGATGTTCTGCATAGGAGGAACTTGGAGGATGGCTGCTTTCTTTTAAGAGAGACAAAACACTTTATGCACATGCTAAATAGCAATTATCTACTTCCAGTATCTATATTTTGCTTTCTAAAGGATTCTCATAACAGATCAAAAGGCTGTGCAAATTGACTGGATCATGCTTTCTTTCCAGCTTGGTAAAGTTGGAGGTAAAATGTTCTTAAATTGTACCTGGCCATGTAATATTTGCTTTCTTGTAAGTCTGTGTTGGTAAAATAGGGTGGTACTGAATGATTATGTGTGGGTGAATGGTTTAGGGTATAGAAAGTACCTGGTGTTCTTTTCTAGAAAACTTGAGAATGCTTAAAGATTCTGACTGCATTCACTTACTTCTTATCCAGGAAAAGTCTTGGTGTGATACTGCAAAATGTGAAGTTCTTTATAATGATTATTGCTAGCTGTTTGATCTTCAGCTGTTTGATTTTCGGCTGGTTTCTCTGTTTTCATAGAATCATAGAATGGTTTAGGTTGGAAGGGGCCTTAAAGATCATCTAGTTCCAACCCCCCTGCATGGTTAGGGACACCTCCCACTGGGCCAGGTTGCTCCAAATACCCTCCCTTGAACACTTCAGGGGTTGGGCCTTCCACAGCTTTCCTGGGCAACCTGTGCCAGTATCTCACCATCCTCACAGTAAAGAATTTCCTCTTAATATCCAACTTAAATCTCTTCTCTTCCATTTTTAATCCATTACCCTTTGTCCTCTCACTACAAGCTCTTGTAAAAAGTCCCTTCCCAGCTTTCCTGTAGGAAAAGCCCTTCAGATACTGGAAGGCTTCTATAAGGTCTCCCCAGAGCCTTCTCTTCTCCAGATTCAACAACTCAAGCTGTCTCAGCCTGTCTTCACAGGAGAACTGCTCCAGCCCTTGGATCATCTTTGTGGCCCTCCTCTGGAGTCACTCCAAGAGCTCCATGACCTTCCTATGTCGGGGGCTCCAAAATTGGAATCAGTACTCTAGGTGGGGTCTCATGAGAGCAGAGTAAAGGGACCTCTCCTGACCTGCTGGTCACGCTTCTTTTAATGCAGCCCAGGACACAGTTGGCTTTCTGGGCTGCAAGTGCACATTGCCACATTACGTTGAGCTTCTTGTCCATTGTCACCCTAAGTCCTCCTCGGGACTGTTTTCGATCCATTCTTCACCCAACATGTATTGCTTGGCTAGTATGTTTGTGTGTTTAAGGGTTAAGAAGTAAAAATGAGGTAAAATCATTCCTTGGTTTAGAAGCATTGAAATAATTACAAATGTCAGGTCCTTGTAATTCTACTCTGTTGCCAGTAGTATTCTACTACATGGCCAGTTTTTGTCTTCCCCCAGTCATCTTTGGGGTGAGGGAAGGATGGAGACCAAGAGTGTGAACCGCTGTTCCAGGAGACACTGGAGTGAGTGGCTGAAAATTGGAAGAAATTTGAAGAGCACAGAACCCTAAACCACCCCCCCACAACTAACAAACAAAACCGCAACCAAAAAACCCCAAACAAAAAAAAACCCAACACACCAGCAGATGAAACACCGTACCTGTGATGGGGGAAAGGGGTAAGGCAGGGATTGTCTGCCCTTCAGAACACTACTTGTTAATACTTGCATCTTTGTATATCCTGTACAACTAAGCAGTGTGGAGCAGCCCAGCAAAGAAAAAGGATTCTTGACAAAGACTTGTTGTTCCTCTCTGTGATCTCAAGTGTTTGAGGCTGGGTGGGTTTCTTTGCCTTGGTTTAGAAGCATGCGTTTGGGCAAACACGGCCCATCCTGCAGAGAATCATTGAAGGCTTTTTCTTTCAGCGCTTGTGATGTTTGATGTTGTACCTGTTGGATGCTGACAATTTGCTTTGCTATTAACAAAGGAGGAATTGCACAACTGTTGATATCGCTGTGCTTGCCAGATTATTTTCTAATTGGGCACACCCCAAAGTTAAAACTTGAGCCTGCAGAGCTATAAAATTTGAGGGAATACCATGAGCTTTGTTTTTCTTACTTAGAGCATAGGAAAGGATTATCTGTCCTATCCATTAAGAGAGACAGGACAAGAGAGATGGGATAGGACAAATAGGTCCATCTGTCTATTCTTCTAACTATCCTATCCCATCTCTTTCTATTCTATCTCTTTTAGAGGGCAGTAGACACTTCTTCCTCGCAGTAAAACAATTGTACCTTTAGGCTTTTTTTCTTCTTGGTGGGGAAATTGTTATTTTCCTGTGTAACTATAATTTGGTGTCAGAAGCTTGCTCTACAGTCTTGGATCATGCTTTAAGAAGAGTAATTTCCTTGAACAAACCTCAGTTAAAGAATAAGGCAGTGAGAACTGCTGACTTTGATGCTAGGCAAGAGAATTAGAAAATGACCTGGCCTTTATTTTCATCTGTCTTGCTTTCATTCTTGCTGTCATATCTGCTTAGGTAAGAGCTTGAAGCAGTGATTACACTGTAAAGGAGAAGGGTAGTGGGACTGAGAATTGGCCAAAAGCAGCAAGCATTGAGGTAAGGCAGAAATAAAAGACTATTTCAACCTGCTCTTGGAGCTTCTCAGACCAAGCACACAGGCAAGTCTTCAAGTGACTCACCTACAGCGTCTAGCTACTGTCCTTGGAGGTGTCTTCCTCAGGATTTTACAGTGGTGGATAAGGCACCATGGATGAGCCTTATCTCATCCTCTGCTCTACAGAGGCAGAAATTCAAGCTTTGCTCCCACAAAAATGTGGAAATACCTTTTTGAGTGTAGTATCCGGTTTCCTTATTGTTCTTCTGCCAGTACCTTTTGTTTTGTTAAAAATACCTCTACAACCTTTTCATTATTTCAGCTTGGGTCATTTATGTCCCAGTTTTCTGGCTGCCAGCACCCTAAACTTGGGCTAAGACCTGTCTCTGAGAATGACATTGTCCTGTTCTCTGAAAGCTGACAGAGGATGTCTTTTCTCTCCCCACTGCTGCGTCCAAAGGCATGCATAAGAGTTTCATGATCTCACTGACATCCAGGAGTGACGAGAGTGAGCCTTCTCTTGTTTATCCTCCTCTTGTCCAGTCAGTGCAAATGAAAGTGTCTTTGCTACTTTAAAATGGACCTAGAAACATTGGTCCTTCAGTCATAAAACTGCAAGCCGGAAACTTCTGAGCTACAAGTGATCCTATAGCGTGGCTTGTACTTTGTCTTTCTGTTGCTGCTCTATCTTTTCGTGTTCAATCTCCCCATCCTTGTTTCGTAGTCACAGAGCCCATCTTCTCCCTCTGCTTCAGATTGTCTCTGTTGCCATAAATAATTCACAGCTTAAGGGATTTATCCTCAAACAAAGTCTGGCGCAACAGTTCATGAATTTCTCCCTTCTCCGTCCAAGCCTGAAATCCTGGACATAAATTCTTTCTATTGCCACATTTCTGTGAGTAAGTGCAGTATGTGTTGGGTTTTTTTAAGGGCTTTAGAGCCTAATGCTGCACTGTGTTAAGTTCTTTAAGTGGTTTGGCTCATTTTCCTTTTTTTAAAACAGAGGATGGCTGTATTTGATTTCCAGTGGCAATTTTCTTGGTAGGCTGATGTAGTTAAATAATAGAACCTCCTCAGTCATTGGTGACCCTGATGAAAGTCTCAGTCTTTGGAGTGTGTATCTATAGTGCAAGGCTGACACAGGGTGGGAATGACAGGGTAGAATAAATTTCTAGGAATAAAACCAAGAGTGCCCAGATAAATACTAGTAGAGAGACTCTGGGTTCAAGGTGAGCTTTGTAACTTATTAATGACCCGTACCAGGCAAATGCCAGGTGGTTAAAGCCCTGAAGGGCTGGCAATAGGCCTAGGTTTGAATGTAGAGTTGTTTCCTTATAAAAAGGAATAATGCAATTTGAGTTGTCAGTCCTAAGTGCTTGGGCTGTGTTCTTGACTCTTCCCTTGCCCCAGAGTTTGTGCGGCAGGTGTTCCTAAAAATAGGCGTGAAGTCCAGGGACCAGTTCTCCAGATCAAAAGGTGCCACCTGTCTTTGGGAAAAATGTTAACTTACAAAAATCAGCATATTTCCTCATGAACTTGTGCTGGATTTTATCCCTGCTTCTTTTCCATGTGGCCTTGGAAGCCTGTGTGTGTTTTCTCTCTGCTTGCCATTTACATAATTCTGCTTTTGACTCTTTCCTTCAGATCACCTCGTTGTTCATGCCCACTTTTAGCAAAGTACTTAAACAAGCAGCAGTTTATCACGTGCTGTTGGGTTGTCTGGTGATCAGGTGGTGCTCCTGTGGCCTTGACTTCAGCGAGAAGCACGCCACAAGAGGGGGATAGTAAGTGCCTGTGTCTGGCTGATAAGACTTTTAAGTTGTCAGGGTTCACTGGCTTCTGGAGGTCACTTTAATCATCAACAAACTCCTTTATCCTCCTGCAGACTCAAAGGAGGATGTTTTTGTGTGCAGGTACTGTAAAGGAAGGCTTTGATTTGATACTTTCCCTGGCTCATGTGTGGAGCTCATACAAAGGATTATTTGCCTCATCATTGCTAAGGCCACAGTTTTCCTGATGAGCCAGTTGAGATGGGATCATTGAGAACCAGAGCTCTGTTAGATGGTTCCAAGCACTTCACTCTTCAAGGCTAGTGGGCAAAGCCACATCTTTCTGCCCTGGGGAGCTCTAGCTAGTCTCTCAGACTCCTTACATCAGGATCCAGAACAAAAATATGATCAGAAGATTGCTGTGTGTGATGCAAATGGTGACTTCTGGGCTCCTCCTGCTTCTCTGCATCCTGCTCTTGAGAGCAGGATAGCTGTCCTGTGTGCTTCCTCTTGGTATTTTTATTCCTCTCTCCTTTCATGTATATTGTTTTTTCAAGCCAGACCTGAGAGAGATTTTTATGGATAGGTATCCCACATGCAGTATTATCTTGCTGCTCTCCCACAAAACAGATAAAGGAAAAAGGAGGGGGCTGAAGGACAGGGAAAGGCAGTGATTGGTATCCTCTGTGCACTGCCAGTGGAGAGTTCAATGGTATCACTGGCCTATGGAAAGCAAGCTAGCTGCTTGCAGGGCCTGAAGGATGTCTGTGAGATCAGTGACATGCTTAGCACCTCAAGAAAAGTGGTACAAAGTAGTGGGAGCCACCAGAGTTTATACAGCAGCTCCTTCAGTCTGATTCTAGGTTTTTTCCTGTCCCCTTGACAGTCTGAACTCTGTATACCTTCCTGAGAGCTAGCTGACAATGGAAAGGATCTGTTGTTGCTTTAGTCACTGTGTGACACACCAAAAATTGCCATCTGCACAAAATCTTCAGGGCTGTTGCAACTGCTATGCCTTTTTGGGCCCTACTTGTTGTATGTTCTGTTCGTAGTATCCTTTCCTCTGAAGGGTTGAAAAAATGTAGTTCCAAGATCAGCATACCAGCTGTGGACCCTGCAGCCTGGCTATAAGACCTGACCTTCCTTCTGCTTGGCTCCCCATCAGCAGGAGGTGATCTACAGCCCCAAGAAAACTGGTTGGCTGGTGCTTGCTTGCTCCTTCTGTCCCTGTTCTGCTAGGCACTGTCCTGGAGGAGTTGCTTTTCCCAGAGGGACCACAAAATGGGGTCTTCTTGCCTCTCCCTTAAAAAAAAAAAAGTGGAAGTGCTTCTTATGCCACATAAAAACTATGTTGCATACTTGGGACCCTGTGGCACTGTTAAGTAAATGGCTGCAATGACCTCTTAGAGAGCCTGTCAGACATTAGGCTTTACCTGTCCTTGGGGTCAGGATTGTGTGTGTTTGAGTATGTGTATCTTGGGCCTTGTTGCGTGCAAGCTGTTACTTGCATGACTGCTGATGGGAGTAAGAACAAAAGGATTTGCCTTCCTTCTTGCATGGCCCCTATGTACAGCTAGAACTAGTGACCAAATACATTGAGATGTTTGGTGTAAAGGCAGCATCTTTCTCAGTAGAAAGCTGCCTGTAAGACCGTGGCAAGGAATGCCATGCATGTGTGAGACAGTTAAGAGGGAAAAAGATTGGCAATCTTGACAACAGGAATTAATTCTCCCTCGGTACAATTCTCCAAAAAGAGTTGCTGGCCTCCTCCTGGCAGGACTATCTCCAGGCTTCCTGGATTTGACCAGCTTCATTAACCACATCACAGATATACTATTGGCTGCTTTTTCAAAATGCTGTATGCAGCCATGGTGTTTTGTGTTTATGGTGTTAGAACTGAGTTTGTTTTGCCTGTGCATAAGGAGACAGTAAACTTCAGTTTGGTTAGAACATAAAGGTATTGTGGACTTGAGAGAGACACAACTTTAACATCTCCACAGATTTCTAGTGCACACTCTGGATGTGTGATTGCCCAGCAAGTGGGACTTGAGAAATCTTTACATAGTGTTTTAGGCTGAGCTACCTGGTACAGTGATTGAAGCACCAACATCTGCCTGGGATCCTGGACAATTTGCCTAGCAACACAGGCATCCATGGAGGTTGTGACTTGCTTCTGTTGGCCTTCAACCAGCAATATCAAAGTTGTCACAAGACAAGTTTACAACTTGAGTCCATGTTCCTGCCTTGCAATGAAGGAATTGAGTGTAGTTCTAGTTTGATTTCTCTGGGGAAGGGCAAATGTGATTAATGTGGGCTAGCTAACACAATGAAGTGAGCTTGCTGAGATATGGGTTTCTTCATCCATATGCTTTCTCTCTTTACCCTCAGGAAAGAAAGCAGTGATGGATTCTAGCCCATTCCTGTCAGAGGCCAATGCAGAAAGAATTGTGAGAACCTTGTGCAAGGTCCGTGGAGCAGCACTGAAGCTGGGACAGATGTTAAGCATTCAAGGTAAGTGGTAGCATAGGTTGTCAGCTATGCTCCTTAGTGCTGCCAGGGAGTCAGATGGTTTCTTGTGATACATGGTTGGCTACCTGGAATTGGTCAGTGTCTAAGTCTCTCCGCATTCACTTGAAAAGTGGCTTTCCCACGTGAAAGCTGTGATGGAGATGTTCCATTCAGTTAATTTGAAATTCTTAGGACACAAGTTGCACCTGATGTGTGCCCACCTGGTCCCAGCTGCCTTGGGCTTGGATGTGACTGAAGAGGAAATAACTATGAAATGCCAGCTCTGAGGAGCAGATATGCTCTGGATTTTTGTCACTTGTCTGCTGTCTCCTAATTTTACTGAGTTCTGGCAGGAGTGTCAAAACACTTGCCAATTGACTTGAGTGTCAAGAACATACAGACCTTTTAGCAACTGGTCAACCCTCATTTCAGTCTTGTGACAAGTATGCGGAGTGCTACAGTGCTTGGCAAGAACATAAACCCCTGGTAACTGTGCTGAGGGAGGGACAGCTGTAGTAAAATAGGTTAGACACTTCCAACAGTGCTGAGTATCCTGTAGTTAGGCTGCCTGTTTGGACTGGATGGTTTTACACGTTTTCTGCCACTTCATGCCACTGTGTGGCCTGGTGAGTTTGAATTGGCTTCTTTTATTAACAGGGATGTGTACTAATTTGAGCACAGGGGCTCTGTGTGGCCTTGTCCAGGTGCAGCTGAGCACCTATGAGCTAAACCACCCAGAAATGAAAGCAGTGTCCTTAGAAATCCTGATGTCTGCTTCTGGGATTCAGTGGATTTCTTAGGGACCCACATCCCAGAATGTCATGTGCAGAAAGGATGCCAAGGGCCCAAAATCATTTCAATGTCCTGGTGCGTGTACTCTGGAAGGTACTGGAAATGCAGCTGCATTTGCCAGTTAAGAGTGCGCTTGACTCTTGGCTTTGTGTTTTGTTCAAGTAAGGCCTCATGAGTTTACCACAAAGACACAGAACCTTGTTCATCAGCACATTGTAAACCTCATTCTGTCAGAGTTGCCTCCACCGCATGACTGATTTTTTAATATTACTGTTGAGCTTCTGTACAGTCAGTCTGGATCTGCAGGTGTCTTGGCTATTTGGCATGGTGCTAATGAACAAAGCAGTGATGGTCAAGCAGCTTCAGTTAAAAAAATGCCCTCTCAGGCTGAATTACATTTTTTAAATGTCGGCAACAAGCAAAATAACAGAGGTTGGTCCTAAATGCCTGTGGCAGACCCTTATACCTTGACACAAAGTGCTTCTAGGAGCAGGAGTCACTTTTAGTGAGGTCCATTCTCTTGCTGCACAGCCATCCTAGACGGTGCAGATTACTAGGTTATAGCATGCAGGCTAATATTTTCACATACCTCTGAGAAGAGTGTTTTACAGTGTTCAGAGGCTTGGCAGTGATATATCATTGAGGATGATATATCAATGATAGAGTGGAAGTTTATTTCAGTGTTTGGAATGCACATACAAATGCTGTGTCTAGATTTCTTGCAGTGTTATAACATCACTATGGAAGTTTTACCCACTATTCCTGCAAAGCTTGTTAATCTCTGACTTGCAGTGGCAGAATGGGAGCCCCTCTTAACAAAAACTCCTGTTGATTCCACAGAGGGGTTTTGTTAGTACTTTTAAATGCTCCAGGGCAGGGATATGCTGGAAAGAGTCCAAAGGAGGGCTACAAGCATGATTAAGGGACTGGAACATCTGTCATATGAGGAAAGGCTAAGAGACCTGGGGCTGTTTAGTCCTGAGAAAAGATGACTGAGAGGACCTTATTAATGTCTATAAATATCAGAAAGGTAGATGTCAAGAATGGGCAAGTCTCCTTTCAGTGGTGCCCTGTGATAGGATGAGGGGAAATGGCACCAAGATGCAACACAGGACGTTCCACCTCAATATGAGGAAAAACTTATTTACTGTTAGGGTAATGGAGCGCTGCCTCTGGAGACTTTCAAGACCTGTCTGGATGTGTTCCTGTGTGATCTTCCCTAGATGTCCCTACCCCTCCACTTTCTTATGGGTATAAATCTTTGCTTGATAAATCCTTCTGACTCTTAAAAAACTTAATTTCTGCTGAGCTGTGTTTTCTTCTGCCCATTTGTAGTTGCTTTGCATTTGGGTAGTTGTTTACAGTAGCAGATGCTGAATCTGGATTCCTCTAGGAGTTCAGTACTTGCAAAATTGGTATTTTACCACTGCACAGCTTTCTAGAGAAACTGCTGCCCCTTAGCATGAACTAGATTAAACCATGCTATGAAGCTGGGCCTGCTGGGATGGCTCTCCATAGGGTTCCCTCTGTGACCTGTGTTTCTGTGGCACACTGGCCTCTCCTAGACCCAAATGCTGTATGGCTTTTAGTGAGAAGACAGGCTGGTGGATGACACAGGCTCATGCAGAGTACTCTGCTCTTGGCTTTGGGCAACCTGCTACATTGCACCAAAAGATTCCATGCTGCACAGAGCTGCCCACTGCTGGACAACACCAGCAGCATGATGAGAACTGATGCCTGAATCCAAAGCATAAAAAATTTCTCAGCATGCTTTCTAGTGTATTAATACTTTGTCTTTTCCTTGGTAATAGGAGTGTGCAGAAACTTGCTCCTGCTGCAGCAGGAGAGTAGCTTAGGAGATGTTTGGGTAATACGTAGTTTTTTTTCAGAAGTGAAAAGGAAGGTGTAGCTTTTTCCCCTTTATTTTGCTACAAACAGAGCTTCTGTTAGTCACATTTCTAAAGGTGTGATGCCTCAGGAGGTGTGTCTCTGGTGCTAATTCTGGGTATGGAGAGTTTCTGAACTAGAATTATTTCCAAAATCTTCACTGGGTTGTGCTTGGGCATGGGACAGCCTGGCTTGTCTGAGGTCAGATGCATGCTTCTTTGTGTTCTGAAGAACTGGACGATGCAATGCCTGCCCTGACTGCTGTATGCTTTTCCCTTGGCAGATGATGCCTTCATCAACCCCCATCTCCAGAAGATTTTTGAGCGTGTACGTCAAAGTGCTGACTTCATGCCAATTAAGCAGATGATGGTGAGGAATATTCCTTTCTGCTTATCAGGGGAGGAGGGACAATAACAGAATAAATGTCACCTGTGAGATACCTCAGTAAGGGAGGTGGATGGGGTTTTTAGAAGTGTTCTTTCAATAACTGCTATATATTTTCAATTGCGGTTAACATCTGATTCCTTATCTCAGTTATGTGCTGCCTTTTCTCACCAAAAAACCTGGAAGCTCAGCTCTAGATAGAGGGAAAAGTGTGGGGGTTTTATGTCCTGAGACTGTGCTAATGGAATAGGATTTTGCATACTAATACAATTATAGGGCCTTGTTGAATGTAGCCTCCTCTTCTTTTTCCTCTCTCTCATCTTTCTAGTGGATGTTAAAGTGACTAAAAGTACCTACATCTCATTTTAGAAACAGACTGAAAAGCCTTTGATGGAAAATTAACAGCAACTTTGCCCTTACTTTTTTGGTTAAATCTAATCCACCATCAAGAAGAGAGAGAATGAAGTAAACTAAGTGTGCTTCCCCCAGTTTACATGTTCTCTCTTTCTTTTAATTTCCTTCTGCAAATTAAGATGTGAAGGATGATGTGAAAGGAATTGCCAGCACTACTGCTTATCTTCTGAAAGACAATGAGCAGAGCCAGAACTTAAATACAGCAGTCTGACAATAAAGCAAAAAAGTTACATTAAAGCCGGCTGTGATGTTTAATTGTCAGTATTGCCTTAAAGAGAATCTCTCTTGCATGCCTGGATTGCTTTTGTTCAGCTTAGCAGCATGATGAAAGAGGAGAAATATCATAACTCCTTGTTTATTTTCTCGAAGATAACAAGTGGCACCAGATAGGGGACTTCTGTATTGCTAAGGCAGCAGTATTTGTGCTCAAGATCTCTGTCCTTTAGGCCAGAGCAACAGAGCTTCACACAGATTTGATCAGCACCTCTTTTGTGCTGGCAGAGCACTCCTGGCTGGACTGCTCCTTGTGATAGTGTGCAATGATGAGGAAGGGAGGACAATCTGGAAAGCAGGGTATAGGTATTCACAACTCTGCTATAGGTTGTATGAATCACCTGAGAGAAATAATAATTTCCAACAGTGAAGTTTTAAATCTTTGTTTCCCATACCCTGATACTTTTTATTTGTAGAAAACTCTAAACAACGATCTTGGCCCCAACTGGAGGGATAAACTGGAGTCCTTTGAAGAACGCCCCTTTGCTGCTGCTTCAATTGGTCAAGTTCACCTGGCACGCTTGAAAAATGGGAAAGAAGTTGCCATGAAAATCCAGGTGGGCTTTAAAGGCCAGCCTTCCATCTTGTTTGTGCCCCATAGAAGGGCAGGGGAGCTGTGTTTTGTGCTAGACAGATAGGAAACAGTTCAGTGGTTTTCTAATTTGGGTCCAGCAATATCTTACCTAGAGCAAGCAGAAGGAAGGGACAGAAATGGTATTACAGCTTGACCCAGTCTGTGATTCCAGATAAGCATGAGACATCTCATAGGTATACTATGAGATGTATACATAAGTATACATAGAGGTATACATAGCCTACTTCTAGGGCTGTGTGCAAGAGTCCTGCCTGCCCTGTAGGTCAATACCCTTTCTGGCATGTGAACATGCCACATGTTGCTTTTTTGCCACAGCCTGAAAGTTAAAGAAGTGTTAAGAGACAAGCACTAACTGACTGTTGAGCAGTGGCACTCTGACTATGCAGGAGGGTATTCCACAACTCACGCTAGAGCTGTCAGCAACTTCAAGCAGGTATTTCTAGCAGAATTGAGTTCTGGAACTGAAACCCCTGCTACAACAAAGGTTTGTAATTCAAAAGAGTGCTGACTGAGCAGGGTCCCAGACAAAGCTGGTTATCTGCTTGCTTTTTTTGTGAAGTGGGGAGACAGTATGGATGGATACAGGTGTCTTTTTCTCAAGCTGTTTGTGTCCAGTTAGGCCAAGGTAAAAGCAATGGAAGTTTAACCCTGTAGCATCAGCATGGATTCTGTTCTACTGCAGTATAGGCTGGTTCTCTTCTTGACAGAAAAAGGATAGGAGGAGGCACCTTTCCTAGGAATGGGATGAGGCCTCACTGCTTACCTTACTGCTGTGGATGAAACACTGAGGCCATCAGTGGCATGTCCTTTCAGCTGTGGTAGGGAAATGACCAGCTGCTATCTCTGTTGTGAGATAGGTCTGTCTGAGAACCTTTCATAAGTTGGAAAAGCCTGTCAGAAGACCTGAACAACTGCAGTTTAGCCTGTCTCTCTGTCCCATACTTTAGACGCTGGTCTTTAAATAAGCTTTTAGAGCAGGGGTGTGTGGCTCAGGTGGCTGTGTTGTGGATGATGGGCTGGAAGGCATTTTTATCTTACTCTGTCCAACTTGGTCATCCAGTCTGAACACTGCCCTCTCCCATTCTGTCCTCCAGTACCCCGGAGTCGCCCAAAGCATCAACAGTGATGTTAACAACCTGATGACTGTCCTGAGCATGAGCAATATTCTCCCTGAAGGTAAAAACACAGATTCTTGACAGGCCCAGTGTTCCTGCTGTCACACGTCAAGTTCTGCAAACTGCTTTTAAACAGCACATTGCATGCTTCTCTCCATAGACTGCAGGGAGGAAACAGTGAAAAGAACTTAAGAATTGCTAAGTCTGCCCAGGAGTTGATTTCTGCAGAAGGTGGGAGAGGTAGTGGATGTGGGCTGAACTGAGGAGCCATGCTCTATTTCCCTCTCCTGCTGCAGAGCTGCCACTGCCCTTGCTGTGCACCTGCCTGCTCTTGGCACCTGCACAGCCCACTCAGTGGGCTATGAAGTGCACCTTTGTTAGTTTTTCCTGGCCATAGATATGCATGCACCTGCCAGAATAACCTGTGCTTGTCTGTGGGCTCTATAAAGTGTCTGGGGATACTCACTTTCAAAGGTTTCCAAGGCACAAATTGTGGGCAGTGTTCAGGTTAGGTAGTCTTGCTTTGCCCCTGTTATTTTCTGTACTTGGCAGAAGTTCATCTTGTCTGTGTTTTTCTGTAGCCCTCCATGCCTGCCTTTCTCAGCTCTTCCTAGTTGTTTTCTGTGTTTTCCAAGTCAGTTGTGCAGAGGTGGAGAACTGCCAAACTTGGAGCTTTTTCAGTGTCCCAGCACATGGATAAGTTCCTTTTCTCACATGGAATGCAGGACTTGGTACTCTTTTTTTTCCAAATACCTACATGCAACAGCTGAAAATCTTAGCAGGACTGTACAATTACTGCTTTAAAATCAGGCTGGGTCCTGACAAAACCTGGGACTGTTCTCTGTGGTGGTGGGGCAAGGACTCTGCAGAATCTGCTGCAGTCCCAGCCATGTCTGGTCCAAGTAGTAGATTGATTTTCCAACTACAAGACTGAGAAGACTGGACTTGGCAACTCGGGCCTTGGCTGCACGCTGCTGCAGTAAACTGTCTTAGTCATGCTGTTTCTGCCTGACAGTGCCTGCTCCTAATTGTAGGCAGATGTGTGGAGACTTGTTTTGCTGCTTGTGCTCAGACTAGTGTTTGGGTGCTTCTATTCCTTGGTGTGTGTCTCTGTACAGCTATACCAATACCAGGAACAGATAGCCTGGGCTGTGGGGTGGGAGCTGGGGCAGGACAGAGCCCTGCTGTACAAAACCAGTGTAGTTGTACCTTGTTTTAGAAGTAGGTGTGTAGCCCTGGCCTGGGATTACCCAAGTAGAACCTGTGTCTACTTGAAAATACACTTTGGTTCTCTGGGGCCTCTTGTACTCTTCAGCTCGTTGGCTGGGTAGCAGGCTGCTCCTCAGCTGCACCTGTGCAAAGCCCCTGAAGGGCTCCTTTTTTCTAAGCTTGCTCTCTTCTCTGCTGTTCAACTTTCAGGTTTGTTCCCTGAACACTTGATTGAAGTTGTGAGCAGAGAGCTGGCCCTGGAGTGTGACTATGAGAGAGAAGCTTCCTGTGCGAGGCAATTCCAGTATGTTCACACCGTTGTGTTCAACCTCTCCTATCTCTGTGTGTGTGAAAATGCAGAAGAGGTTGCTTAACTTGAGGGACAGTGGGGAGATTAATGCCATGCTGTGGGATGTAGCACAGGAAGAGGGTGTGTATTTGTGGCCTGAGCTGTCTCCTAGAATTTCTGTCTTGTTTCAGCTGAGTGTATTTTCAGTCAGCACATCCTCTCTTCTACAGTGTAAGCCTGTCTGTTTTACCACCTGTGAAGGTACTGCAGTAACTCTTGAGGCCAGGTTGCAGTGCTGTTCTGTGTACTCTTACGTCAACCTGTTGGAAGCTTCTTCCATCTTTACTCTAGGAGGTTTCTCAGTTCAGCTCTGACAGCAATTAACACCACCAGCACTGCCTGTTCTCTTGGCTTGCTGTAGTAGTGGGGTCCATATTGTTTTTACATGAAGGCTGGATGATGGAGAGCTGCTGGAGGCTCGATACCTCTTCTGTTCCTCTGCAGAAGTGCCCCTGTGGCATTGCTTCCCTTGGAAAAGGCACATTTCTTCCAAGTGTGTAGTCTGACCCTGAAGCAAAGTGGAGTGAGCAAAAGAGTCCAGTGGCCCTTGATGTACCTGTCTGGAGCCCTCCTAGTGTCACTGCTCTGTCAGGAGATGTGACTTGAGGAGCAAGCAGCAGCAGCTCTAAGTCATTGGTGTGGTTTCTGGTGACTTGATCCCTACTGTAACTGCTAAGGAAAACTTCTGACAGGGTGTGGGGAGATTGCATGAAGGGGCTGTGTGAGATGTTGTGGAGGGACCTGGTTGCTCTCAGCACTCCTAACTTTTTGTTTTTCTATACCCTAGGGAGCTGCTGAAAGACCACCCCTTCTTTTACGTCCCAAGAGTAGTGGATGAGCTGTGCAGCAAGCGTGTCCTGACCACAGAGCTAGTGTCTGGCTTCCCTTTGGATCAAGCTGTAGGGCTGAGCCAGGAGATTCGAAATGAGGTACTGTGGGATGGTCTTGCTTCTCCCCTGGCTCTGAGCAGCATGCTCTACCTGCCTTGTGACTGGTAGATCAAGGGATCCTCTGGGGAAGGGCAGACCCTGAGCAATGCAAAGCAGGGCTGGAGTTGAGGATTGTCTGGAACCTCTCAGATTTTTGTGCAGGGAATTTGGTAGTGATGATGGAGTCTCCACAGGCTTATCTAGATCTTGCAGGTGCTAGCATTCAGCAGGGAGGTGTTGAAGGGAGTGAATAGCAAGGGCTGCTAAAGAGAAGGCAGTGCAGCTGCATGACTCATGCCTGTTTCATACCCTGTTTCTGCTTATTTGTCATGGATTGTCAGCTAGGGGACAGGGGTCTTGTTTTGCAGCTGCTTCTTTGGGAGGAGTGCCGAATCTATTCAGTGCAAGTATTTGGGTGTCATCTTCTTCTGTGGGACTGACCTGTGCTGCATAGGGCAGCTGGAAAAGTACCTCAGTAAACAAGAGGGGGGGGATGTAGGGATGGGTATGTGGTTTTGCTGAATATAAATAGCAAGGGATTGGAGTGCTGTGATGAGACAAGCAGCTACTCTAGTTGCAAAAATAACTGTCCTGGTATTTGGATTTATTTTTTTGTCTCGGTGTGACTTGTCAGCTGTTAGCAGGCTGCTGGGGAAGAGGGTGGAGTGTGTTCCTCTGGATAAAGAACACCATACTAGACTTGAAGCTATGCCAGAGCTGTCTGCCTGTGACCCTTGAGCTATCTGTTCTTAGGGTTTTTCTCCTTCGACGAGATGCTGTGTCATCAGGCCTGCTTTTAAATGGCTGTGAGGTGGGGTCTTGTTGCAGGAGCAGCCCTTCTTTCCCGTAAACGACTGGCGTGGCTGACCCACAGCCTTCTGAACCAAATGGCAGTGTCCTGTATTTAGGGACTAGCTTGCATTTGGTGCTCTCTCCCTTTCCTCTTGGATAACTTGTTTCAGTCAGGTTTGCAGAAACTTAAGAGGGGGAGAATGAGGCCAGCAGTTCTCCTGAACAGGCTCTAGCTTAAAAATCTTCTCAGATAACATCTGCTGTAGCATGTAATTCAGCAGTGGGCTCTTCAGGGACTACTCCTGCTCCCTCCATGCCTGTCACACCCAAGATGTGGGTCTGCTGTTTCTCTCTCAAGCTGGGTCTGCTGTTTCTCCCTCAAGCTGGGTCAGTGCTGAACCCAGCAGAATACTTGGCTGAGGAATAAGTACATGGCAAGTGTCTGTGTCTAGTGGAAAACTCTTTCAATAATGCTTTGTACATTGTTTGTCAGCTTTACAGGAAGACTCTCTGCTTCTTTGGGCCTGTAACTTAAAATACCCTGGAACCACATCTCATTTCCCCTGGGCTACACTGGCTTCATTTTGCTCAGGGTCCAGCAGGACTGTCTACCAGCATAGGCTGTAATGCTCTACTGGTCTCTGCCCACCTCTGCTTTTGGATCCTTCTTTGCACTGTGAATATATTTCTTTTCTCTCAAAGCAACAACCAAGTGCATAGTCACAAACCAAAGTGCATAGGACCAGGAGACAAGTAACATGTGCAGTTAGGTGACCCCTGGAGCCTGCTGTTCTCATCTCCCAGGTACAAGGTAGCGGCCTCTCTGGAGGCACAGCCAGGGGCTGATACAAACCTACAGCTCAGGCTGATGTAAAACTTGCATGGCATCTGTGCTATCTGCTAAGAATGTCCCAGGGCAAATGTGAGCTGACAGTTGCTGAGAGGCTCTCTTTCACCTCTTTGGGGGTTTTGCAGCATGGATTAGATAGTTCCTGTCAGTGTGGTGATATGTTCCCTGTTTACTAATGCCCACTGTAAATTGCATATATGAGTAGCTGATCTTCTGACTGCCTTTTTTCTCCTCATTTTTCAAGATCTGTCACAACATCCTGGTTCTGTGTTTGCGGGAGCTGTTTGAGTTCAGGTACATGCAGACTGACCCAAACTGGTCAAACTTCTTCTATGACCCGCAGTTGCACAAGGTAAGCCCAAACAGTAGCTGTTCTGCCTGTACAAGAGCTGGTTTTCACCAGCTTGTAATTACTCCCTACTCCCAGAATTTAACAAGCCCTCTACTGAGATTCTCCAATTCCTGCACTTGAATATTGGGCAAGTAGGACAGCTGAAACCTGTCCCTTTGCCACTTGGTCTGGGTGGAGAGCAGGGCTTCCGCACTCATGGCTGGCTGTGTGTCTTTGGCCTTAGATCCAGATCCAGTCAGAGCTACTTCCTTCCTTAGCCTCAGGGTCTGTTTTGAAGCTACAAAGTGGGAATTTGCAGCTGGCAGTGCTCTACCACAGCACTCCTGAGCCAAGGGCTCTTTATTTGAATGCTCTTTTTCTGTGCTGTGCTGAAGGGTCTCTAGGAAGCCATTGTAGATGTCCTGCTTGTTTATTTGGCTGCTTGCCTGTGCCTTGCAGGTCAAGTGGAATTGCTTGTTCATCTCTGAGGTCTGTGTTGGAAAGTGCTGGGAAAAGGTTCTGTGTAGCCTTGTCCCCATGCAGAAAGCCTGAGCAGTGTTTTGAGCTGAGCAGGTGTGACAGTGTGAGCATACTGTTCTACTGTACTATTTCTGTTGTGTGTTAGTGCAGATGTTTGTGCTGTTGTAAGGAGATAAATGAGTTAAGGAGAAGCTGAGCTGCAGCAGAAAGGCTTTCCAGCCAGCTAAGCTCCTTGAAGACATCAGGGGTCTTCTTAAGGTCCTGCTCTACTTGAGTGGTTGACACCGAAATACAGATGTATTTGTCCATTTCCAGGTGGCCCTGCTGGACTTTGGAGCAACACGAGGTTTTGATGAGAAGTTCACTGATGTCTATATAGAGGTGAGGAGTTGCCCTATGTTCCAGAATGTCTTAAGAATATTTGCAAAAATCTGCTTTTTATATCATCTGTATCACTTAGTACTTGAATCCACTCTGGGTGTGGAGGGAAGAAGGGCTGGAGGCAAGAGAGATACCTCTGTTCCTGTTTCATCCCTTACCATAATTCTGCACGTCTGCTGCAAGCCTCTGAGTTCGAATGTTTAAATTGCATGACAAATGTGAAGAACTGTAATGTTGCTTACTGGGAGACTCTGGCAGCAGGGCATATTGGAGCACTCAGAATTCAGTAGTTTTTATATGAGGTGATAAGCAGGAATTGCTTGTCCTGTTCACTGTCTCTTCCTGTGATTTCTGTAGAATGCTTACAGACTTACAAATTTGGGTGAAGTCATATGTGCTTCTTTTGTGATCACCATATTCTGCACTTGAGAAGTTAAACTGGAGAGGCCAGCAGACCTCACTTAAAGCCTAGTTGGCTTTACTGTTTTGTTGGTGGAGGGGCTGATTTATTCATGAAGCCTTTTTGATGTCCCTTACATTCTCTTGAGTTACGTGCAGAGCTTTGGAGAGCCAGCAGCTGAACCTTTTTGCCAGTAGCTCATAAACTAGCCAACATGCAGACTCCTGAAGATGATGCAAGGATGTGAGTGGGCAGCACCTGTAGCCTACATAGTTGTTCTGTACTCAAAACATTTTTCAGTCATCCCCTAGCTTTCCTCAAAGTGTTCTTCCTATTCAGGTAATCAAGGCAGCTGCTGACATGGACAGAGAGAGAGTACTGAAGAAGTCAATTGAAATGAAATTCCTCACTGGCTATGAAGTCAAGGTATGGAGTAGTGTGGTCTGCTTTTAGTGGTAGCAACTGTTAAGTTTGTGGGTCTGTGGGTTTGCCCAGATTTCTTGATGGGTAAAAGCCAATGTCAGTCTGAAATCCCTGTTGATCAAGATGAGACAGAAGAGCAAAAAAAAGGTTTTGGCTTTTGTGTTGTTCTCACTTCCCTTTGGGAGTTTGAGCAGTAATGATGATACAGCTAGCCCCAAAACCACTGCCCTTCCCTCTGTCTCCCAGACAGACCCTGCAGGTGGTTGCTGAAGTTTCGTGACTGGGCAGATGGTCTTTTGGAAGGTTTAGCTGCTTGGAACTGTATTAATCAAATGTTCATCAGTCTTGCTGGGGATTGGAGGTTACCTTTGTTTGGGATATAGCTAGATATTTCTCCTGAGCTGCTGCTGTTAGAGCATGTCTCTTTTTCCTTGCTGGTGGTTAAAATGGTGAGTGATGTTATTTATGCCTCTTTCCTTTTGGGTAGGAAATGGAAGATGCTCACTTAAATGCTGTCCTCATCCTGGGAGAGGCTTTTGCGTCTGACAAACCTTTTGATTTTGGCAACCAAAGCACCACTGAAAAAATCCATGGTTTAATCCCAGTCATGCTGAAACATCGGCTTGTTCCTCCGCCAGAGGAGACCTACTCTCTTCATCGGAAGATGGGGGGTTCTTTCCTTATCTGCACCAAACTGAAGGCCAAAATTCCTTGCAAAAACATGTTCCAAGAGGCATATAGCAAATATTGGAGCAATAGGGGAAAGAAGCCAGAGGAGTATTAAGAATGAACTAACATGTCTTATTCTGAGGCCACACTTCATCGGAGCCTTGCAGAAAGCCTTCTAGCCTCCCATGTGTTGCTCTCCATCCTCTTGAGATGCAGCAGTCTGTGCCCTGGAAGCTAAGAGTGTGTTTCACAAGGACAAAGCTGTTCTTTCAGGTCTGTCCTACACACACTACCAGTACAGTCCACAGTTTGCAGTAAGCTATCTTCTTGAGTGCTTCTGTATTGTTTAAAGGCACCAGCTGACTACCTTGAATGCATTTTTAATGTTATGATGGTGACTGCATATTCATTGGATTTTATAACAAGTAGGGGAAGGAGGACAAGAGCAGAAATAAATATTGAAACCTGTTTGTCATTATCTAAAAACAGCTTTTTAAGAAAACTTCCCTCTTTATGCTAAGGTCAAATTCAAGTAGTTTTCATACTGTGAATGAAATACCAAGGTGTATCCTAACACAGCACCACCTACTCCCCCCCCCCCCATCCCTGTTATTTTTGTAAGTCAAATGGTGGAAGTCTGAGAACCCTCCTAAATTTTACTGACATTGATTTAATGCAAGGGGGATGCGTGTGTACATAGTTTTATGCTTTTTGCCTCTTTTTGGCTTGCAAGCTAAATATAGAAAGTATTTTAAAAATCTAAGACTTGAGTGCAAATCTTTTACACACACACATACACTTACAGAGCTTGTTTTAGCTCTGGGATTCAAATACATAATCAGTAGAGCTACATCTAAGCACAAATTGTGGGATTCTTTATTGTCTGGTACGTATCAGCTTTCCTGAGGGCAAGTTTAGATAAGCTACAGCTCTTGACACCAATTGCTTGCTGGACTCCTAACCCAAGAACCTACTTTGTCTGTCTCTTTGGTTTTCCTGTAATGCAGAACTTATGGCAAGGCAGGCAAAGACACATCTCTTTTACACATTTCAGTCTTTTACTGAAATGTCATACCTTTAAAATCAGATGCACAGTTTTGAACTATTGGAGTCAAGCTAGGAGACTTACTTTCTTAGATTTTTTTACAAAGTCTGTACCTGTACAACTTCTTGATTTCAATAAAAAAGTACTTTGGTGGTGGGCCTTCTCCATGCAGTTTTTTCATCTTCTGGTGTGGTATTGAATAGCCAAGTGAACCATATGGGGTAAACAGGAGTTGAGCAGAAAGAGAAACTTGCAAGTTTCCTCTTACTGCATTTGTTTGCTCAAAGAATTGCAACTACCTTTGTAAAGCCACCTCTATCTATGGCCTATTTATTCCTTCATCTTTACATTGTAGCTGTGTCACTAGTGCTAACATTGATGGTGCCAAGTTTACCAGGAGCCAGAGGAACATCAGCCTTCATATGTGTCTGGCCATGAAAATCCCTTATAATTGTCTTGTTTTCTTGTTTTCCTTTGTTTTAATCACTGCTACCAGTCTCCTGGACATGCATCTTTTTGCCTTTCCTCCGCTTGTGAAGAAAAGAGTGGCTGTTGGAGTTGATGCTTACCTCATGCTAGTAAGGCATATATCCTTATCTGGTGTGTGCCAGATATTTAGTAGCGGACTCAGTTAATACAGTCCAGGAATGCAGAGGTTGTCTCATTTGAAACTTCAGTACATAAGAAATCTTGGCTGCTGACACTTCCAGAGGTAAAGAACAGGTAAGTGAATAAATGGTCTCTCAGGAGGGACCTTTGAGAAATAGGAAAACAGGTTGTTATTGTATTACCTTTATTCCTAGTTCATAAACATATAAACGGCTTCATTTCATATTTGGCTGAGAAAGATCCAGTACTGTTTAATCAACTAAAAGTACTCATCAAGGTTATTCCTAACCATTTGAGAAGAGTGAACTCTGCTGTTCAGTGAAGTAATAGGGTTTTTTGCACTATGCTGCTTAACTTTGTACACTGATAAAAGTAACTACTTTCCTTGGTTTGGGTTCAGAGAGATGTTCACTTTTTCTCTTTTGATCTAGACCTCGCAGCTGTTAAATGCTTATGTTAAAGGTTCAAAAGTGAAGTATAAAAAAAGTTGACAAGGGAATGGGATTAGGTGAGCTTCAGAGGAGAAATTCCAAAACTGAATATTCAGAGCCCATATATTTAGAGAACTTGCAAAGAAAACAAATTTACTCTTAAGAATATTACAGTTCACTTTCCAGTAAGCACAACTAGGTGAGATTGGTATATTATTTGTCTGACCACAGATCAGACATACCAGATATACCATGCTGGGGCTTGAGTTTTTAACTCTCAACTTCCCTTGAGAAGAGAGTGTGTTTAAAGATAACATCACACTGAACAATGGAGTTGTTTTGGATTTGTCTAAAGCACAGTAACTAGCAGAAAGTGATGTTTCTTTATTAGGAGAGCTAATTAGACCTCTCAGTCCCTAATTCTGACATTTTGTGGATGTTCTAAAAACTTTACCAGTTTCTATAATTTTGCCCAGAAAGATTTGTGACATAAATTGCATGTCAGTATAACAGCTGTGGAGAAAAGATGAGCCAGAAAAAACTGTTCCTAGCTTCAAGTCAAAGAAGCCATGACATTTCACAGTGTGCTAGAATGCTTTATTACTGCTACTTGCTCTATACCTGCTAGTGCATTTGTTTCAACTACACTTTCATGTTGAGGATATAAACATTTCGTTGCTGCATCGAGATTCGAAGTTCTAGAACTCCCATGCAGAAAACAGTTCACTGTTCCATAGGGCAAGCTGGTGGTTAAATCGACTTCACTGAAGATAGGTTTTTCTATTCCAGAAAATCAAGATTCAGGCTACACGTGGTAGCAGTGATATTCCCACCTTCTTTAGTCAACCTAGCTGCTGCATCAAAACAGATAATGAATGCTGAAGAGCTGAACAATAAGCCTAACATGCAATTCAGCATCTGCTTTTCTAATGGGAAATGGACCTCCTATTGTCAAGAGATTTAGACAAGACCTTCACAGCTGTGCTGATGCAACTGGAACTGGAAATCAGAAATATGACATGTAAAAATCAGAGCACAAGAAATGGTATTTCAGAGATCCACAGCAGCTAGGAGAGACCTGCAGTGGCCTAAATGGAGTGAGCCCACAGGCTTAAATTCACATAACCTAGTGGGCAGGGGGGTGGTGGAGCTGAGAAAGTAATATTTTTGACTGAAGGAGACGGACAAGATCAGAATTTTCTGTGGAGCGAGCTAGCTTGTGGCCATGTAAGAAGTTGGAAGCATGCTGACTGTTCCTGGAGGGAATTGCTGGTAGTCCTTGCTCATGGCAGAATGCCCAGACTGGCACTGCTGGCAACACAAGATTGGTAACAGCATAGTCCTTTATTCCTGTTGTGGGGAGGATGTGACTGAAGCATGATACAGACTTTTACTAACAGGGTAATGAATGAAGATAGCCCAACAATCAGTCTCATGATGTGAAAGGGTCAGGGCACATGCAAAAACTTCAGAGGTATTTTTTGAGATGTGCTTAAAGGTGTGTAAAAGTCAGTTTGATAATCATAGTTCAGAAATAAAAGTCTTAACACTGTGGCAGCTGAAACATGGATGTATAACTAAATGAATGAGGAACATCAGAAGCAAATACAACAATCAGATTACAAATATTGATACAGAACAGATAACCTAAGGAAAAGGTCAGGAAAACTGTAGTTCATGAATTTCAATATTCCAAAGTATAATGGGGCTTGACTTTGACTTTCCAAAAAGGTTCTGGTAATTTTTTTCTGAAAGCTATTACAGCTAAATTGATTTTTCTCTTGTATTCATTCCCACTGTCTATCTGTGCAGATGTTACAACATCCTGCTTTTACCTTCAAGAACACCATCATCCCCATTTCCATTCCCTCCTCAAAGCTTAACATGGGGAGGTAGGAAAAAAAGACAAAACACCTGCGTTTCTAGCAGTTCTGTTTTATTGCAGTACATCAAAGTAGGTTAATATTGTGTTACCAACATAAAATATTGGTGGTAAGTCATTTTTACATTGACTTTTCCATCTTAAATATTTCTGTGCAAAAGAATCTACATCATTGTTCTGTAGCAGAGAATCTCTTATAATGTCCCCTACAACAGTAAGGGCATTAAACAAAATAGTGAGAAGAGGCAAAAAGCAGAATCTTTCCTCCACACACACACGTCAGCTTTTATACTATGAAACAAAAAAAAGTGATTACATCTATGCCATGCAAAACTGTACAATAATATTACAATGAAAAAACAACAAAAAAATAAATGATATGAAACTGTTATACATAAAAAGGCAGGTATAAATGCTCTGAAACACCAACACTGGTTTGTTTGTGGATTTCTTCCCTGTGGATGAGACTTTCTTAACTGCAGAATGACAATAGGTTGTACTGAGCTGCAGCTGGAATGAAAGACAAAGAACAGTTGGAATTTATATTGGAAAGCCTGCAGCAGTGGCTTCTGGGGTTGTTTATCAAACAGTGCAAACTAAATTTCTATAAATACATTATGGTTTTTGGACTTTTTTGGTATGACAAGACCTTTAACTTCCCTCTGTCGTATACCTGAGAATAACACACCTGGCTTGTAATTTTATCAGAATCAAATCAGAGATAATATTCCTGTCTTAGTTTTGAAACTTATTAAAATGGGCAAAATGCACAATCAACTACTTCACTACAACCTCAGTCAGGAATGTTTTTTTTGAAACCACCAGCTGTCTTCTACAGGTCCAAGGCAGACATTCTCAAACGTGCTATCTTGTTACTTACTGCTCTTGTTTGTGAAATGTGGAAGGAAGCCACGTATCTCTGTGTGCACACATGTAGGGGAAAAAAAAACTATTTACCAAACTTCTTTTCATTCTATAACCTGGAATCCTTAAGAGCTGCCTAAATCTCTTCAGATCTTTTGTTGCCATTGAAAGAGAAAAATGTGAAACCCCAACAACCCATATGTTTAAGCAGTGTCAGAAATGCAAACACCTTCAGTCTCAGCCAAAAGGAAAAAAAATGAGCTAAGTATATACTGTGTACAAGAGAATATGTGCTACAGTCAAAAATTCAATGGGAGATTTTAATCTATCTGTGAAGTTGAAGCAATGCTACAGGGCTAAGTAGCAAACATCAAACTGTAGGAGAAGACAATAGGTTGTACTGAGCTGCAGCTGGAAGAAGATACCAGTCAGAAGTCTTACAGTTCAAATGACCTCCTAGCCCAATGAGTATTTAAAAAAAGCTCAGCTACAGTATGCATATTTTCAGTATTCAGACCAACCAAAAAAAAGACTAGTGTGGTTTAAAGCTGAGTGTACTGTCAAATGGTCCCCAAATACATAAAACTATTCAAGTCCTAGGACAATGTTTCTGTTTTCAAGTAACTGGTGTGGTCATTTGCTTTTCAACTGGGAGAACAGTTGCTGCTTCTCTCTTGAACAGATGTATATAAAAATGCACAGTACCAAACTAATTATTAAATATCCTAGAGGATATTTAATATTTAATTATTAATCCTAAAGGAGAGTGACAAGGCTTAGAAATTGTGGTGTACAAACAGTGTAGGCCTGTGGAGCTTAGTTTAGTAACACAGCTGACCTATGCTCTGCCTGAAAATGTCAGGTTTTGATATCAATAGATTGCAGGTACTGTAACAGAGTAAACATAGAGGTTTGCTCCATTTGTTTACTGTGTCATGGTTCTTTGGGTTCCATTTTCAGATAAATCATTAGCTCAACTGCAAAAAAAAATAAATATCCTGTGACCCTCTCTCAGGAGACTGTCATGGCAGCTGCTTTATCTTAAATGACTGCTGTTTCAATGCCTTCTCTCAACATCAAAATAAGATCAATGTTTAAATACAACATACAGTAAATATAAAACTGGTCTGCAAAGGCTTTGAAAAGTGTGTGGACATGCTTCACCAAAATGAGGGAATTGTGGGGAAAAAGCAGTGTCTATACTTGAAGCAATATGCAGCCTTTAAAAAGAAGCTGATGAGGAATTGTAATAATGCCAATAATATCCTGTCTATCTGTCCCTCAGACTGAAAACTATTCTGGGAGGAATTCATTTCATGTGCTTAGCTGTTTACGAAAGTTTTTAATATTAAATGCTGGACTTGCAAAAGCAGTAGCTTGGAAGTTTAAGCAAACAACACAACCAGCTTGCTACTCTATAAAACCCTAACAGGAGAGAGGCAGGCTTTTATACAATAGTTTATAAAAACTTGAATTGCTGTCCCAAAGTAACATTGAATGAGCTTAAAGTTTGGACAAGCTTCTTGATTCAAAGAGAAATCTTACCTAGAAGACCCAGCATGATTAAATGGCTTAGATCACACCTGGAAATTACTGTACATGGTTTGAACTTACCTATAACTTCCATTAGGGAAGAGACAAACTGGAAGACTCCAAAACATCTCTGTGTGGGTGAAATACTATATACTGCTGACTGCAAGAATATGGAATGGTTTAATAACAGCCATAACAATTTTCCAAAATCCACAAAACCAGTATTCTAAATACAAAAGGCCCTTATGTGTTTGAGTATGGTCATAGTATAAAGCCAGCAGCACTACTACTGAGAAGAGAGGCTCATTTGAACACCCTCCCAAATGAAAAACACATCTACCTTGCTAACTAAAGAGGCATCTTCCTCTTAATATCTATTTGTACATCAGTGTCTAAATTTATTCTGTTGACTGCATGACCAGCTTCAGCTGGTCAGCTTTTCATTTAGTTTTTCAACTTCAGTGGGCTCTGTCTTCCACTGCAATGCTGCCCTCCAACCTGACCTGCTACTGGAACCAAACAGCAGGTGAGCACATAGAAATTACTGCAAATTGCACAAGCCCATAGCACAGGTGGGGAGGGAGAGGAAAACCAACTTTGCCTGCATGGCAGTTGTGGGCATCTTTGACTACTATAGTGTGAACAGTGTGAGGTCAGTCTTCAAGGTTCTTCGTTGCGACAGTGACAGCATAGCCAGCCATAGCTAGCTTCAGGCTAAGGGCACTCATTTGGCTGATGTGTATTAGCAACTACTATTTGGTAACAATGGTAAGTTTTCTTTTAGGGATGGTCAAGGAGATGTGGAAGACTGCTCCCTTGTGAGTTAAACTTGCTCAAAGGAAAGGAAACCTAAACTGCTGAAGGAGACAGTTTTCCT